GGTGGCTCTGGTGGGGGAGGTGAGAGCAACATCCCAGTGTGGCAGACCGGGACGGTCTCGTAGCTCCATGTGTTCCCTCTGGACCCTGAGCCGATGGCTGGGCACTGGTTGGGTCTTTGTGGGCAGAGCGGGACGGCGCTGGCCAGCCGGGCGCTGTGGAACTGAAGCCCCGGTGCGTGCGGCTCTGCCACAGTGAGCGGGCGCAGGAGGGCTGGGCAGCTCTCAGCTGGGCACAGCGGGGGCACGGGGGGGATGCTGGTGCAGCCGCTGGCATGGCATGCCGTGAGCCCAGTGAGCAGCCCGGCTCCCTGCAGGCACGGAGCCCCATGGGAGCTCGTCCCTGCAGAAACACCACGTAGCACCTTGTCGTGGCCGTGGGACAAGGGGATCTGTGTCCCAGCAAGAACCCAGCATGGGAACCCCCAAAGCACAATGGCAAACATGCTCTCTGTAATCATCTCATTGGCTTCTATCGAGGATGTGGAGGATGGAGGAGCCCGAGCGTCCCAGCCACGGCAGGTGGGAATGGGCATCAGACGGACACAGGCACGGGAGCAGGCAAAGAGCATCTTGGGGTGTACAGGGACCCACATCTTGGGGTCACCGGGAACCCATGTCTTGCTGTGCACAGGGACCTGTGTCCCGGGGCGGCAGGGACCCACGTCTGGGGGTGCACATGCAGGAGGTTTTGCTTCTCCGGCACTGGGCATGGCAGGAGGGCAGAGCCATTGCTGCACTAACTGTGCCAGCCCAGGGACATCAGACATGCGGGAGGACGTTTCTGGGGAGATAGTCCCTGCACATTAATCACTCAGGTAGTCTTCTTCATTAATTCAAAGTCGTTTGTTGAGGTTCTGGAAGCAGAAATAGCTCCCGAGCAGCATTTTGCTATTGTACTCTCCTCTCAGTAAAAATAGCCAAGCCGGTGCTGGGGATTTTTTGCAGAAAAAGCGACAGAGGGAGCAGAGTTTCAGGAGTGGACTCAGGGGTCCTGCACCGCGGCGGGTGCCAGGCCAGGTCCCTCCCAGCTGGGCCACGCTTGAGCAGAGCCCCAGGCACAATGCCAGCCAGGGCACCCCAGGAGCAACTGCTGGAAATGATCTTTGAGCTGCCGGCTGCTGGCAGGTGCTGTGGGGTCCCTGGAGGAGCAGCCCCTGCCTGTGCAGGCATTGCCTGGCCCTCTCCTGCCAGCACCTCTCAAGCTGCAGCTGCCCAACACCTCTCATGACAGCACTCGGCGTCCAGGTACGGGACTTTGCCAAACTACCTGCTGGAGCTGAAATCCTCCATGCTGGTGGCTGCCTTCAACTGAATTACTGTGAAACACTGGAGTTTCTGAGGCTGAAGCAAAAGACATTGTTTGCTTCTGCTGAAACCCATTTGCAGCCATCTCCCTGTGAGCCTTGGCAGTTCGGGGTCTGCAGGACGGATTCGGCTCGTGCTGTGTCTTCCCCCGGTGAAAAGCTCCAGGGCCAGAGCAGCCTCCAAGCCCTGCGGGGCAAGGGGGTGCAGAGCGCTTGGTTTGCCATGAGCCTGAGTTAGGGTGTGAGAGAGGAGAGGCTGCGGGGATCTCTGGCATCACAGGCTGTGTCTCATCGAGCCAGGGGGTCTCTGCCTGTCAGGGACTTTGGTAACTGCCCCCCCTAGTGTCCAGCACCCTCCCTTCCCTGCAGCAGGCAGGGCCTGGGAAAAGCCAGGCAGTAGTCGCAGGGCTGTGGCCGGCCCTGGGTGTTTTTTTTAACATTTCACTTTGTGACCTGAAATGCTCCTGTGTCATTCTTTCAGGCAGAACTGCTGTGTCCCCCTGAGGTTTCCTGAAATAAAAGCTCCGCAGTGCCAGGGGGCCCCACATCCCACTGTGCCGGGGGGCTGCGCATCCCGCAGCGGGTGCTCAGAAGGCACCACGGAAATGGGGGAGGCTGGAAAATGCCCCATAATGAGGGACTTAAGGAATTGCATCTGCTTAGTTTGTCAGGAAGCAGAGTGAGAGGTGGTTTGAGTAAGGGGTGTCAGTGCCTCCACGGCTGTGAGTTAATGAGGTCTTCAAATGAGCAAAAAGCAAGAGAAGAAGCAAACTCAAGCTGCAGGTAATTCGTGTTCTGCACCAGGCAAGGGTGGCCCAGCAGCTCTAACTGCCCCGGGGAAGCTGGGCGTTGGGTGGTGCTGGAGGCAGGGGCTCATCCTTCTGCTCCCTGCTCTCCGCCTGGTGCTGGTGAGCGTCTGGTCCTGTCTGTGGGTCTGTCCCACTGCCCGGCCAGGACCGCGCTGCCACCGAGCCTCGGCCCCCAACACAGTGAGTGCCTCTGGAAACGCTCACGGGCTGTCAAGTTTGATGTGTCACTGTGATAACAGAGAAGGATCATAATTTAGGCGGAGATAAAAGGTGGTGGGAGTTTTATTATTCAAATATAAAATAACTTCCTCCTTTCAAGCGTGCTGCACTTCCTGGGTATTGTATGGGGATAAATCAGAGTGACATAGGGAGCTGCGGCGCGTGTACTCACAGGAACCGGCTTTTAATTGTACACGGAGCAGCGGTTGGGACTGGACCTGGCCGCGGTGGGAAAATTTCAGACCCTCATCATCTGTCTCCGCTGCTGACAGCATTGAAGCTGCTATTTGCAAAACCTTCAGGAGTTTCTGGGTTTAAATTAGATGAGCAGGAAGCCATCTGTCAAAACGCTTTTGGTGCTGGTGTGTCAGGGAGGTGCCTTGATGGACCTGGTGGGCAAAGCAGGGGGAGAGGCAGGGTGGGCGCCTGTCCCAGGTCCCTGCCCCCAGTCCCTGCCACGGGCTCTGCCACCCTGTATTTTAAAATCCCACAAGTCCCGAAGCTGTGTGAGGTGCTGCTTTTCCAGAGGGCCCTGGGTAAGATCAGGGCGCTCTAACTCGGCACGATGCCTGGTCCTGCCTGTGGGCGCAGGGCTCTCAGCGGGTGTGCTGGCCCATGGGAGCACACACGGGTGCTGCATCATCCCCTGCTTCCCCCAAGGGACCCACAGCGCCTGGGAAGGGCAGCCCAGGGCTTGCCGTCCCATCCCCTCCCTCCAGGCAGCGACCGGTTTGGGGGAGCCACAGAGGCATCTCCTCATGTTTCTGGTGCCGCGGGGACTCAGCTGAACTCTGGCTGTTGGCATCGGTGGAGCATGGGTCGGTGAATGCACGTGCTGCGGCATTGGGGCAGTTTGTCCCTGTGGCACTGGGAGCTCACAGGGGCACCAGGGCTGAGAAAGGGCTTTCCCACCCCTCATGTCCCTGCGGTCAGGACACCGGGACTGGGGAGTGAGTACTTGGCAGTGCCCTGGCATGGCTGGTGATATTCCTGAGTCGGTGTTTAAGGGGAAGGATTTCCAGACTTGCCAATCTGATGAGCTCTTTTTAATGCTGTTTGCAAGGGAAGGTATGTAAGAGAGGTGGGCATAAAGCAGAGAGGCGTAACTACCTGTACAGTTTCAGAGACCAAAAATTTCTCGTGAATTTTCTATCAGAAATGTCTTGTTGCCAATAAAAGCCTTTAGGGGTGGGAGGGAGAAGAAAAGGGGATGAGAAGTGAAGGGCTGTGGAGCTGCTGCAGTTCCAGACGTGTCCCGCAGACAGAGGCAAGCTGCCAGCCCGGCTGCCCGGAGCTCTCACCAGCCTGGCCACGGCAGGTTGGGAAAGGGGCGGGAGACGGACAATGGCATGTTTTACCATGGAGAAGGCTCCGTAAGGAGAAAGCTTGTCCACAGGATCAGCAATAAAAAGATATTGCACCCAAAGGATCCTGGACGGAAGTAAAGGAGACGCATATTCACAGGGTCACAGGAACAACCAGTTGCCCCGCAAAGGCAGAAGAGCTGTTTCTGAAGGAGGGCTCTGGCGTTGGCCCCAGGGCAGTGCGGGGTCCCGGCTCCCCCTTCTCCTCCTCTGCAGGACCTGGACGGGCTGAGGAAGCTCAGAGGGTTTCTCAGGTTGTCGCCCAGCGAGACACAAGCCCTAGGTGGGTGTGGTGCTGGGTGGGGGAGCTGGGTGTCTGTCTGTCCGTGCTGCCTGCGCCAGCATCACCCGGGAACAGCGACCGGCTGCACCTCAGCTCCCCTGCGTGCCAGTTTCACTGAAAGCCTCCTGCATCCATCTGGAGGTCCTTCTCCTTAACACCCCTGGTCCTGATTAGGGATGGGAAGGGGACGAGAGTAAAGATGCCCAGGGAGGGAGAGGACAGGGGAGAGCTGGGAGCAGTAGGGGTAGGGTTAGGGGTGGGAGATGTAGCCCTGTTTTGGGGAGGCATGGTAAGCAGTACCCCTGGTGTTCAGCACAGGGGCGGTGATGGTGCTGGACTGGCCAGCTGTACTGGGTGAGTGCCAGCCTTGCCCTGGTGCAGCACCCCACTGCCCGTCCCTGCCTGCAGCCCCGCATCGGGGCAGGTTCCCACGCAAGCTCCTCCCCGCGTTGTGGTGCCCGTTTGTGTTTTCGTGGTGCACCAGGGTCTGTGATCACAGCGGGCTGCTGCCTGCCATCCTGGGAAGCAGTGGGGCTCATGCCAGGGAGCAAGTGGCTGCTGCAGGTTGGGCTTGGGTTTTTTTTTGCCAAGATACCTGTTAATTCAGCTCCCTCGTTAAACCTAACAGAGGAGCAGATAATGTCAGGATGAGCTTTTTCTGGTGGGTTTCGGTTTAGCCCAGTTATTCCAGGCAGTATCCGGCATTGCAGCGTGGTACCTGTTTCCTAGGAGACTGCAGGAAAGCACAGGAGCAGCACAAACCCCAGCCGACGCGGGCTGCCACCGCGCACAATTAGCACAAATACTGTAAATGTCAAGGGAGGCTAAATATAGTCCTGTGCTGAGTCCTATCACACTGTTGCCCATTAGAGCCTCCCAGCTCGAGCGGTGCGAGCACGTGGGACCAGGGCTTTGCTCAACGTCAAGCCCCAGGCAGCAGCGGGGCTTTGTTTTGGTGTCTGAGGGTGCTCGCTGCCTGTGCAGGCAGGGATGCAGGCAGCCTGGTGTGGGGTCTGGCTAAATGGCCTTGCTCATCCGCCCCTTTCCCCAGGTGAGGGTTGTCCCCAAGGCGATCGCCACAGGCTCAGGCCTGCAGCCTCCCGGACCTCAGTGGTTTTAGGTTTATCTGAAGCCCGGTGTTTGCCCAGCGGGATTTCCCCTTGGAGCATTTCTCAGCGCCATCCTCGCCCATGGCATGGATGCGCTGCCTCGCTGGCAAGGAGCAGTTTTTCCCAGAGCACTGAGGGCTGCATGTCTCGGCTGTGCTCCTGGTATTTCAGATTTTTTTTTATGTTAAGTTTTTTTTTTTTTTTTAATGGCCTTGCTCATCCGCCCCTTTCCCCAGGTGAGGGTTGTCCCCAAGGCGATCGCCACAGGCTCAGGCCTGCAGCCTCCCGGACCTCAGTGGTTTTAGGTTTATCTGAAGCCCGGTGTTTGCCCAGCGGGATTTCCCCTTGGAGCATTTCTCAGCGCCATCCTCGCCCGTGGCATGGATGCGCTGCCTCGCTGGCAAGGAGCAGTTTTTCCCAGAGCACTGAGGGCTGCATGTCTCGGCTGTGCTCCTGGTATTTCAGATTTTTTTTTTTTTATGTTAAGCGACCTGTGGTTGATCATAAAGCACTTTTCTAATGGCCCTGAGAGAGCGAGCGGTAACCTCACCCTCTGTTTGCTCCCACAGCATTACTTTACCGTTAATTTCAACCACGAGAACCAGAAGACCCTGGAGCTGAGGACCGAGGATGCCAAGGACTGCGACGAGTGGGTGGCAGCCATAGCTCATGCCAGGTATTGCCCTCCGCCAGTGCAGACCCTGGGATGGGGGGTGTCGGAGGCAAAGCCATGCCCGAGGGCGGCTGCGGGGAGCTGCGGGCAAGGCTGCGGGCAGGGAGCCGTTGAGCCAGGCACTGCTGGCAGGCAGAGCAGAGCGCTTTTGGCCCCCAGCCCCATGTTGGGGACCCTCGTGCTGCACAGGAGGCTGCATTCAGACACGTCCCACCCAGCCCTGTGCCTGCCTGTCCCTGTCCCATGCAGGGCAGCCAACCTGGCAGGTTGGCGCTGCCTGTCCCAGTCTGGTGCCGGAGGGATGCCCGATTTGCCGTCGGGTTCAAAGGCCGCCAGGAAGGGTTTCATCTGGAATAGCAAAAACGGTCAGAAAGAGGTTTTTCCAGGCTCATGTTTCTGTGCTGTGGGAATGCTAGCACAGCCCACTTGTTGCCCAGGGGAGAGTGGTCAGGGGCTGGTACGGCACAGCCGCGTGTCTGGTGAAGGAGGTTGCTGGGCTGGCAGCGAGAAGAGGGGGCAGGTGAGTGTCATATGCAGGAGATTAGAGAAATATCATCTGCTGCAGCACCTTAATGAGAGCAGATGTCCGTAAGAGCTTGTGCTACAAGTGCTCTCCTTCTCATTAAACTTTTGGGACGTGGTATGTGAGAGAGGTTTGGCCATGGGTTTGTTCTTTTTTCTTGTCTCCTACCATTTCCTTAAAATTTGTGTTATCTTTTCTGTTTGCACCCTCGCGGGGAACCCGAATCCTCTCCAAATTGGTCAGTTCTGAGTAGCAGCATCCCAAACTGCAAGAGCCACCTCCCAGTTCATTCACCCTGCGGGTGCCCCAAGCCGGAGGGGCAAGGGCAGTGCGTAGGCAGCTGGGAAGGAGAACCCCTCCACAGCAAACCACAGCATGCAGACACCTAATTTTGCATGCACATCCCAGGGGGGCCATGGAGGAGGGGTGCTCACATCTGTGTCTGCCTTGCAGCTACAGGAACCTGGCGACGGAGCACGAGGCACTGATGCAGAAGTACCTCCATCTCCTGCAGATTGTGGAAACGGAGAAGACTGTTGCCAAGCAACTCCGCCAGCAGATCGAGGACGGGGAGATCGAGATCGAGCGCCTGAAGGCCGAGGTGAAAAGCCCGGCGTCGCCCCGTGGATGCGCTGCCACTCCCCAGGGTGACCCGCGGGCTGTGGGCGGGCAGGTGGCATTGCTGCACTGGCAGGGACCAGGGGACATCGCAGCCAGCGTATTTATGTTTGTTTTAACGACATCAGGCTGGCCCCTTCTCTTGCAGAGAGGGGCGAGGGCATCACCTTTGTTGGAGGTTTTTCTTGCAGGAGCCGTGCAGCGAGCGGCCGCGGCTGCGCCGCCCAGGCATGGTGCATGTGTGGGGCTCAGTGTGGTCCTCGGCCCCAGGACGCTGCTGCAGCAGGGAAGGGTTTGCTCCAGCAATGAGTGCTGGGGAACGGGCTAGCGAGCCGGTCCCTTGGGTTCAGGAGTAGGTATTGGGGGAGGGATGGAGACTCCCTATCTTACCATTTCGCCTTCCTTACTTTCATCCTAGATACTTTGATTAGGCCCCCTCTGCGTGCTGCGTGCCTGGTGGTAACATCTGCCAGGAGGTGCAATGCTAGAGGAGTAACCGAAAAAGGGAAGAGGTGTCTGTGGCCTCAGGAGGGAACCTGTGCCAGGTGCAAGCTGCATAATCTGAGTACATCAGGGGATTAATGTGCATGGTGCTATAAACAAAACAAACACTTTGCTACGAAGGGAGCGTTCTCTTCAATGAGAGCAACCCATAAAACCTGTTGTCCCTAGCTTGTCCCAGAAGCTCTCACAGCAGTTTGCTGTTCAGTAGTTTGCGGCGTTGGGTCGTAGGAAGGGTTGACACGACGCGGGTTACGGCAGACAAAGGAACAAAATGCAAAAATGACTCAGCAGACGGTGCCGAGGGAAGCTTGTGTCTCTAAGGCACCTGGGGAAGAGGATGCTCGGCGGCGTGGGTATGCCCCGTGCTGCCTGGCCACCTGCGTTGCAGGGCTCCAGCCGGCCCTTGGTACCCTCTCGCTGCGTGGGTTTCGGCTGCTGGTGGGTGTTGGTGCTGGTGGTGCGGTGGCCGGTGAGCATGGGACACCCCAAAGCCAGTGCTGCTGCTGGCCCCCTCCTCGTGTCTGGCAGGGAGGGTCGGGCAGTGGCTTCGTGGTGGAGGCAGCTGGGAGCGGGTCCTGCTGCCTGCTGGGCTGAGATGTCGACCCTGAGTAAGTCAAAATCTCAAAATTGCCACGAAGGAGGCAATTGGAGAGGCGGCGAGGGCAGGAGTGGATTGGCATGTCCTTAAGGTGGTGTTTTCCTTATATTTGAGTCAAAAAGCGCAGGTCAATAGCAATCCCCAACCACGACTTGAGGCAGGCAGTACGCTGAAGGCTGCTTTTAGTCTTGGGGGACTGGGGAGCTGCAAGCCTTTCCCAGGAGCGGTTTCAGCACTGCTGAATTTGTGCTCTCCTCAACAGAACAGGATCAGCCCCAAAACCGGCCTGGCCGCGGCCTGCGGCGCCCGCTCGGTGAGGGGGTTTCTTCTGGGGCCCCAGTCCGGCACCAGCCGGGAGCTCCCTGGGTCCGGTCCAGCCTCCGAGCTGGGGCAAGCTCCCTTCTCCCGGGAGCGTGGCCAGCGTAAGGGGCAGGGGAGGCGAGCGGTGGGGCAATGAGCAGCCTGATGAGCTTTCAGTCAGAGGAGGTGGGAGGTGTGTTGTGAACCCTGAAATTAGCTGAGGGGTCAGGGTCAGAGATGCCTGGCAGAGCTGCAGCCTGTCCCGTCCCCTGTGCCCAGGTACATTTGATTTTACCTTGCATTGGTTTGGTTTATTTTTAATCCTCCACATGCTTTGAAGCAGAGATCAAATAATCAGCTTCTACTTTAATGTGCAAATTTTGCTCACTCAATTTAAAAAAAAGAAACCAAAATAAAACCATGGCACCAGCAAACCCACACCATGGGTCCCGGCCGAGATGGGTCCAGAGCCAGCGCCGGGAATGGCTTCGGTGCTCTCAAACACTTAAATGCAGAGGGGATGCAGGGGATGTGAGGTGACTTGAGACTCCATAGGAAAGCACAGAGAGAGGAAAAAATTTCTAAAATCTCTTCTAACATCTAATCCCGTGTAATAAAATGGGGTGAAACCGATAGAGCTGCGTAGGAGCTGAATCAGTGCCTGTGAGCCTGCGGCCGCTTTCTCTGGCATGTTCCTGCTCCTGCTGAGGCTGGCGGTGCTGGGGGTGGCTGTGCTGGGACAGCAGGGACGCTTGGGGGCCGGGGCAGCCCTGGTGCCTCCAGCTGAGCCCCTCTGAGCCACAGCCGGGTCGCACCAGTGGCACAAGTGGGGCTGGCTGGATTGGGCTCATCCCCAGCCCTGCGCCAGGCACCAGCCCTGCGCCCTCCCTCCCGGCACCTGGCAGTGAGAAGTTTTGGGGAAATGCCTCCACATTGAATGCTGGGAGGGCCGGGTCTCTTTGGGAGAGCTCGACGCCGAGAGGTGGCTGTTGAGCTTCATTCAGACACGGTGACTGCATTGACCCACAGCATTTTTTGGCTTCTTACGGCATGAAAACACACAGCTCTTTGTTACAGTTCGGATTTTGTGGAAGTCATCTCCTCTTCCTGGGCTGTGACCGTGCAACAGAAGCAGCTTCTGCCCCTGTCCTCCTCCCCCAGCAGCTGTCTCCTCTCCTTCTTTACTTTGCTTTCCTTCCTAACAGTCCAGACACCGAAAAACCTACACGCGCTTGGCGGGTATTGCAGTTACTGCTGCTGTCAGTTCCTAGCGTCACTGGGAAGCAGAGTCTCCAACTGAAAAAGATCTCAACTCCTTTCTCTCCAAAACTTTTTGGAAAGTACTCTTTCAAAGTTGTTTTCTTATTTTTATTATTTTCTGTAAAATCAAAATTCAAATCACATTTTTCCTAATTTTCATTTTCTGAATAGTACATTTTCTGTTTTCCTACCCTTTCCCATAGCTTTATAAATGGTTGCAGCGGTGGGGGCAGGGACACAGCAATGAGCAGAGGAGTGAGAAAAAGTACAGGCGAGAAACAGTAAAAATTCAAATGCTTGAAGCTAACGAGATTTGATCCAATTTGTGTTGGAAAGCTGTGACTGGATGAGAGTTTGTCCCCGTCTGCAAGTTTTAGAGTGCAAATGACTTGATATTTTTCTGCCATTTTCTCTCCAACTCGTTTTTTTAACGACTCGCCCATGAAGGCTTTCTTAGGAAACGGGGATGCGGTTTGCATTGGGTACCTGGCAGGGTTTCCAGGTCCCCTCTGCAGCGTGTTTGGTGGGTGCTGGGGATGCCGGGGAGTCGGCAGCGCCCTGATGGCTCTGCAGCATTTCTTTATCTGCTCCATCTACCAATCTCCCATTAAGACAGAATCAGCACGACATGTCCCTGTATCTGTAGTTAAGCTGGAGGCACGTGCCATTCCCCGGCACTGCACGGCAGCAGGGTTTGTCCTTGGCTCCCAGGACATGCCGGAATGTGCCGGGGCGGCCGCTCATGCTCCCCCCCTGTGCCTGCAGATCGCCTCCCTGCTCAAGGACCACGAACGCATCCAGGCCGGCCAGACCAGCGTGCCCAGCGACGACGACAGCGACATCAAGAAAATCAAGAAGGTGGGTGGTGGCGGGTGAGTGGCGCGGGGGCCGGAGCTGGCGCTCGGTGGGGGCCCGGTGCTCATGGCGGCGCGGCAGGCGCACTCCATGTGGGGCTGGCAGAGCGGTTGGCCTGGGGGGGCTGTCTGAGGAAGTGCCTCTGCTAACAGGGTTTTTTTAGGAGGAAAATGTGTTTTGCAAAACTGGAAACCCAATTGGTTGTGTTTGCTCTGTGGGGCACTCGCCGCTTTCCCCGGGTGAGCAAGGTGTCCCTGCCTGTGCCGGCTCATGCACAAACAGCACCTCTTACATCTCGCTTCTCCCACAGCTGTGGTTACATCTTTTATTTTTGCGAGGAAAAAGCCACCACCCAGCAGTGTTCCTGCAGGGAGCAATAGACCCCACGAGGAAATATGCTCCAGATAAAGTGCTCTCGGGGAGAACAAGCCGCACTCGCCAGCAGATGCTGCTTGCCATGCGCCCCGCTCCTGCAGGCGATTCCCTGAGCCTGGCAAACGTGGCGGTGCCTTGGCCTCCCCACGGTGCTGTGGAGGGGACCAGCGCTGCCACCGCTCGGGGAGGGTTTCCTGCCCTCGCCCAACCCCCAGGAAAGCCTCCACTGGCCCCAGGCGCCTGCTGCCCCATGCAGGGGACATGGGGTTGAACCCCACAGGCTTGGGGTGATGGGCAGCGGCCGCACACATGGACGGAGCTCTGGGCACAGACTGGGATGTGCTGCAGATGCTCATGTACATGAGGAAGGCTTGGAAGCTTTTCTAGGTGTCTTAATACATCTCTGTGTGTTTGGGTGCCCAGACAGGTGCTGGCTCCAGGGGGACTTTGGTGCCCCAGCGCACCGGGTGATTGTGGGGTGCTGGGTAGGGCTAAGCACCAGGCAGGCTGGGAGTCTCCGTACCCGCACAGTCCTGCTGGCAGGGAAGTGCCCAACGTCGCAGCTGTGCTGGGGGAGGTCAGGAGTCAACATGGGATCCTTGCTTCTCGTAGGAGTCTTCCATGCATCTCTGTAAAAAGAAAAGAGGACATTGTCTGCAATAAGAAAGTGCATTTAAATGAGTTATTGTTCATTTCCCAGCCGGGAGGATTCGGAGCAGCACCAGTAACAGGCACCATTGTGCACACCTCAGCACAGAGCCAGGGAAACCTCACTGCAGAGCTGCGGCCCCTGCACCGTGCTGAGCGCGGGGCGCCTGCCCGGCTCATCAGCCTGGACCCTAACACGGCCGCTGCTCCCTCGGCAGGTGCAGAGCTTCCTGCGGGGCTGGCTGTGCCGGAGGAAGTGGAAGACGATCATCCAGGACTACATCAGGTCCCCCCACGCTGACAGCATGCGCAAGAGGAACCAGGTCGTCTTCAGCATGCTGGAGGCGGAGGCCGAGTACGTCCAGCAGCTCCACATCCTCGTCAACAACTTCCTGCGGCCGCTGCGGATGGCAGCCAGCTCCAAGAAGCCTCCCATCACGCACGACGACGTCAGCAGCATATTCCTCAACAGGTGAGTGCCATCCTGGGCTCCAGGAGCTCTGCGGCACCCCATCAGAGCCAGCAGCCTCTGGGCAGGCATTGGTGTCCACGGCCCACTGCCCTCCCCTGGGAATGGGTGTTGGGATGCTTGGTGCCAGGGGACTCCCCGGGAGCCTGCAGCCTGGCCCCCAAAGCTATGGATGGAAGCTCATCATCCCCATGGGACAGCTGCACAAGCAGCTCGCTGAGTGCTTGGCACTGACACGAGGAGGTGCCATGGAGGCTGATGCTCCAGGGCCTCAGTAGTGGGTTGGGGCTGCCAGGAGCCTGTCTGTATGAGGTCCTGGCTCTGGCAGCGGGCAGGACGGTGTCCTTTGGCATTAACAGCAGCCCGTAGGTAATGATGGACGAGCGAAGCGGGGAGGATGCAGCTCTCATGGGAGATGGTATGGAGGGGGCAGGCGTAGCCTCTCCTGCAGCTGCGACACGGGGTCACAGCCGCCGCAAAGTGTGCCGAGAGTGGCTGGGCCCGGGCACTGGCGGGGATGGGAGGTGGTGCTCGCTGACCCCAGCCAGGCCACTGTGATGCCAAGTACGTCAGCAGTATATGCCAGGTTTAATGGCAGCTGCAATGGCTTCATCCCATGGATGGTACTGATACCAGCGGCAAGTCCTACCAGCCAGCCCTGCCAGCCCTGGAGGTGCCAGCCACTTGTCCCTTGCTGAGGGGAGCAGCTCCGGGAGCAGCGCTTGCAGCTCCTGGCATTCGCTCCTGTTGCTTTCCACGACCCTTCCTGCTGTTGCTGTGAGCTCCCTGGGCTGCGTGGGGTGCCAGCTCGCTCTGGAAGCTGAGAGGGACCCAAACTGTAGAACCCAAATTCCAGTTTTCCCCCACATCTGGGCTTGTGTGAAGCTAGCACCTTGACTGTGGCCAGTGCAGGCAGAGTGAGCGCTCCCAAGCACCCCTCCTCTGCCTTGTCTCGTCTCTGTGGCCTGAAGGAGGTCCCTTGCTGTAGGGTCTCTTGGAGAATGAACAGTGGAGGACACGGGGCCAGCTCAGAGCTCCAGCCAGGAGCAACCCTGTCCTGCCAAGGCTGGGGAGAGCAGGGGTGCCCTGGGTGGGCAGCAGCATCAGGACAGGGAGGCAGATGGGTGTCTCAAAGGGCTGCACTCCCACCAAGCATTGCCCACCCGCAGGAGTGGGGCTGCCCCGGCTCGGCACAGCTCTGCCTGGCATCACGCCCTCCTCGGCAAAGGCTTTGGCCCATTCCTGCTCTGCCTGGCCCAGCGGGCAGCAGGAGTGGTCAGGCAGGGCTGGAGAGCATGGGGCATGTCCAGGCAGGGCAGAGGCAGAGCTGCCTGGCCAGGAGAATGTGAAGGTGATTTATCAACTGCTGGAAATCAAACGAACCCCGTCCCTCGCTGATGGCGAGGGACTGGTACCTGCGGAAAACATCAGATTCCCAAGGGGAGCAGACTGATAGCAAAGGGCAATACTAATTAGCTCCCAGCCTGCAGCCAACGGGGACGGGGTGTGCACAGCATCGGACAGCGAGTGCTGGGCGCGGGGGAGCCAACGACGCTTTCGCCCCCCCTGCCAGTGCCACTCTGTGGGGCTGGGCTGGGAGGGGGGGAAGCTCATTCCCCTGTGGGAAGGGGGGTCTGGGCTTCCCTGCATTTCGGGGTTTACATCTGAAGGGAGCTTCAGGCTGCTCGGTTCCTCCCTCTCCTCTGTCCTCATCAACCATTCCCTGCGCACCTCTGGGGACCCTCTCTGCAACCCACCTTGTGCAGGCAGGGCTCCCCTGCTCCCCGTCTGGGCTGGTGATTTTGTCTAATTAGTCATTATTTGTCACTTGTTCATCTGTCTTTTCACCCCTTGGTTTATCTTTCAGTGAAACGATCATGTTTTTGCACCAAATCTTTTACCAAGGCCTGAAGGCAAGGATATCCAGCTGGCCGACGCTCGTGCTGGGTGAGTGCGTGTTGCCTCCTCACTGTGTTTCCTTCCCGCTTGCTGGTGGAGCCGAGCCCGCGCTTCTCCTCCCAGTGCAACTTAACAGGCGTTTTGCTAACCGGCGGCAGCAGTGAAATGCATCGCACAGCACATCACTCGTTCATGTTGGTCACAGAAGCGAGGACCTGAGCAAAAAACCAGAGAAACCCAATTCCTGCATTCCTGGTTCTGCCGGGCGGTGGAAGGGGTGGGCTGGACCATGCACAGGAGAGCTGATGCTGAAGAGCATTGCTGTGTCCTATTAGACCCTCAGCTGGCTCTACAGGGTGTCTTTAAAACCCAAACTGGGCAGACCTGGGGCTTGCACAAGCAGCACAAGGCCCCAGGGGGTGCCCTGGGTGGGACCTGGGGGCAAGGAGGGTTGGGAGCCAGGGGGGCTGTGCCAGGACCCCAGGGCATGGGCTGGACCAGCCCACTCACCTCCCCACCGCCTTTCTGCTCGCAGCTGACTTGTTCGACATCCTGCTGCCCATGCTGAACATCTACCAGGAGTTCGTGAGGAACCACCAGTACAGCCTGCAGATCCTGGCGCACTGCAAGCAGAACCGGGACTTCGACAAGCTGCTGAAGCACTATGAGGCCAAGCCTGACTGTGAGGAGAGGACCCTGGAGACCTTCCTGACCTACCCCATGTTCCAGGTGACCACTAGTGCCGAGATTGGCCCCGGGGATGCCACCACAGTGCTGGCGGCGAGGGACGGGCTGGGCGGTGCAAACCCCAGCCCCACAGCAGGCATCGGGTGGTGGCGAGGCAAAGCCTGGGTGAAGATGGCCTGGGGCTGGACCCCACGTGGTCCCATGCTGCTCCTGAGACCTGCTCAGGCCATTGCTGGGCTTGTCGGTGCTGCAGGAGGACTCTCTGGGTGAAGCTGCCAACTTCCCGGTTACCCCATGCTGCTGGGACATGGATGGGGCACAGCAGAGTCCTGGGCAAAACGCCACGCTGTTCCCCCTCTTCATTAAGCTTTAGCACGAGGAACTTTGAAGCTTTCATAACCTCCTGGATCAGGGGGTCTGAGGCACAGTGTCCCCGGACACGGCAGCTCTGGGAGCAGTGCAGGGTGGGCGCCTGCAGCCCTCTGTGCCCCCTCCATCCTGCCTGCCCCCCCGCACTGCACCGCAGCTGATTCCCCGCTCTGGTCTGTTGTGCTGCAGATCCCCAGGTACATCCTGACGCTGCACGAGCTGCTGGCTCACACCCCCCACGAGCATGTGGAGAGGAACAGCCTGGATTACGCCAAGTCCAAGCTGGAAGAGCTCTCCAGGTCAGACACACCACTGCCCATCCCTGCCTGCCCCTGCCTGTCCTGGCAGCTGGGGCTGCGGGACCAGGGGCAGCTCTTGCACCCAGGCGGTTCGGACTGGTGGAGGGGCTCTTGGCCGGGCTGCTGGCATGGTGTGCTGCCCTTCTGTTGGGCAGGGAGAGGGGCTGGGCAGGCAGACCCTGACCTGCAGGGTTTGGAGAGGGTGCAGTGCCGGTGGTACCAGGCTGGCCTGGGTGTTCATACAGCACCCACAGGGTGAAGCCGGTGGAGATGGTGACAGAGGGGCTGTGCTGTCCCGCTGGGGTAGGATGCAGGAGAAGCTCAGTCCTCGGTTTGCTCAGAGCCCGTTGGCCGTCCCTGACAAGGATGAAACCCCTCGTGAGCCGTTGGCACAGGGAGATCTGCCTGCTTGTGCATGGGGTGCTGTGGGTGGCGTTGTGGGGAGCTCGCCCGGGTGCCTCTGGCTGCCCACGCACCCTGCCTGCTGCTCGGGCGCAGGCAGCAAGCAAAGCCCTGCGCCAAAGGTGCCCCGTGCTGTTTTAGCCAGGATCCACCCTCCCATTGCCCTTGTCCTCTGTGTTTCGAAGGCTGAGATGTTCCAGTGCTGTCTCCTGGCCTCCTGTGCAAATCCGTCCCTGGGGCCGGTGGGATGAGAGCCCGGCTGCTTCTGGCGTGTTCCAGGGCTCCTTAATGATGAAATATGAGTTTTGGAGGACTGGGACGGCTCTCAAGGTCTGGCTCTGTCCTCTGGCACAGCTGTGCTTCTGGGTGCTGGTGGGGCTGCCCCGTGGGAAGGGGCTGAGTGCCTCCCAGGTCTCTGCAACGAGCACCCGGGAATCAGCTGCGATTCCCTGTTTCCAATCCTCTCCCTCCTCAGGCCACGGACCGAAGCGTTCTGTGTGTCCTGTGCTAGCGTGTTGTGACGGCACCAAACACACCAGCGCTCCTTGGTCCTGAAGCAATCCACAAAGAGTTTCCATCCCTTTTCCCACTCCTCAAGGAGCAGGGATGTTGGAGGGGACTGGTGACGGGGGAGGAACCTGTCCATCACTAAATCCAAATTTTGTGATTTCCGAGTAAGAAGCACTCGCGTTTCAATATTTACAAATCTGGAGGTACAGTCCAGGCTGATGTGTAGGTTACCTCCTGAACTCCCAGGTCTGTATAGATACAAATGACTGCTGTAATTCCCTTGGTATTCCTTTGGTTTTGGTCTTACCTAGTGTAGCTCCTCCACTCTGTTAAAAGGGATCTGCTGGGAAAAGTGCAAATCTCATCCAAGCTCCAATGTTCTCTTCTCTCCTTCAGGATAATGCATGATGAAGTGAGTGAGACTGAAAATATTCGAAAAAATCTGGCGATAGAGAGGATGATTATTGAAGGGTGTGAAATTCTGCTGGACACCAGCCAGACTTTCGTAAGACAAGGTACAGTGTTTGTGTCGATGTCCCTCCCCTCCGCGGTTAATGCAAAGCCCTGCAGCCCCTGTCCCCCCGCCACCGCATCCCCCTGCAGCGCCGTCTGGTGAGCTGTGAAATTTAAAAATATAACCCGTTTCTGAATTTTCTTTGCTCCCAAGTGCCTCACTTTCGGACAGTCTCGGCACTGCATTTTGTTGCATCACGGAGCAGAATGTGCATTTTAGCCATTATTGATTTCCTACCACCAGAGAAGTAGCGGGACGCATCCTGACCTCCTGGGCACACTCGGTCCCGGAGGAGCACCCACGCGATGGGGGTGCAAGGGTGGGTTGGGGGCTGTGGCTGGTGCTCACCTGGTCTCTGGGCCCCGATAACCTGCACAGCTGGTGGCTCACGGGGCCAGTCCCAGTCCCAGCCCTGGTGCTTGGGGACACACTCGCCACTGCCTCGCTCTGGGCACACAGCGATGCCCTGCTCCCGGGTACCGTGCCCTGGAAAGCTGCCCCCGATGCCAGGGATGGGTCTCTCCCTTCTGTAGGGTCCCTCATCCAAGTGCCGATGTCAGAGAAAGGGAAGATCACGCGGGGGCGGCTGGGCTCCCTCTCGCTGAAGAAGGAGGGCGAGCGGCAGTGCTTCCTCTTCTCCAAGCACTTGATCATCTGCACCAGGGGCTCCGGAGGCAAGCTGCATCTGACCAAGGTGCAGAGGGCTGGGGGGGTCTTGGCGGCCTCCAGCAAAGGGTCCGGTGGCTGCTGGGCTTGGAGCTGGTGCTGCTCCCTGGGGTGCTGGGGCAGGGGCTCGTGCACAGGGAGGGGGCAGAGGCCGGCACTTCTGCAGCCCGAGCTGGCCAGGCTCTTCTGGTGACACCAGGGGTCCAGGGGTCACATTGCCCTCCCCTGGCTGCAGCCTCCTGGGGGTGCTGGGCTGAGAGCAGGCGGTCGGTTGGATTTATTTCAGGTGGTCCAGATGCCTTGTCAGTGATGTGCGGAGCTCTGAGTCGTGGGCAAAGACAAGAAATTGCAAGTTCTCAATAAAAGAAGTTATCCTGATTTGCAGCAGAAACCTTGACAATCTATTCAGTGAGAAAGTTAAATTATAACCTAGGTTTGTACATAATGCTCACAGGCTTCTGCAGTCCGCTCCCAAGACTCACGCTTTTGTTGGTGGAAGTTTTGAAGTGATGTGCGGAGCTCTGAGTCGTGGGCAAAGACAAGAAATTGCAAGTTCTCAATAAAAGAAGTTATCCTGATTTGCAGCAGAAACCTTGACAATCTATTCAGTGAGAAAGTTAAATTATAACCTAGGTTTGTACATAATGCTCACAGGCTTCTGCAGTCCGCTCCCAAGACTCACGCTTTTGTTGGTGGAAGTTTTGAAGTTAATTGAGCAAGAATCTTACAGAAATTGCTCATTACTGAGCAGTTTGAAAAATTACAGTCCGTGGCAAAGAGTTGATAATTACAACAACAGATTTTTGGAAAATTTAATTTAAAGCTCATATTAAATAATTTATAAACAAATTAGTTGATCGGTTATAGAAGGAAAACCACGATATCCCAGCTGTCAGTAACTGCTTTTTTCCCGGTGAAAGCAGACGCTGCGCTGGCCGCGGGCTGTGTGTGCACCCATGGCAGCATCGCCCCATCCCCGGGGCAGTGGGCTGCGACGCGGGGCGGGGGGCCGGGGCCAGGGCAGCCCCCAGCCACCCGGGGGGGGTCCTGCCGCTGAGCCCCGACTCCCGCCACTGCAGAACGGCGTGATCTCCCTCATCGACTGCACGCTGGTGGAGGAGCAGGAGAGCACCGACGAGGATGGTAGGTGCCCCTGCCCCACCCGCAGCCCCATGCCAGGCAGACCCCCCTCGGGGCATGCCCAGGGCCCTGCTCAGCCCCCACCCGTGGGTATGCGGTGGAAGGGTTGGCTTATGTGCCCCAGCGGGCGCTGAGCAGACAGGGGCGTCTCAAAAAGCAAAGTTGCAGCTACTCCAGGACCCTCTGCTGAGGTTGTCAGCACCACCAGCATGGCAGACCGTCTCCTGCTGCGCACCGCAGGCAGTTTTGGGTTTTGCAGCGTGGTCACCCCATTGCGGGGGGGACAAAGCCCGCACCCAGCAGGGCCGGGGAGGTGTCGGGGGTGCAGGTCCTGCTGGAGGCTGCACTTAATGCCAGAGCCTTGGCATGAGGTTGCTGCCAGCCCCAGGCAATGCCTTCCCTGGCTGGAGGCAGCTGCCGTGTTCTGAGGCTGGGGACCAATGGCAGTGTGGTCAGCACTGCTGGCGTCCCCTGTCTCGGATGTGGTGTCCTCCTGGACATTGCTGCCGTCCATCCGTGTGGCATAAAATCAACTGCAGCAGAGCTGGAGCAAATTGAGATGCTGAATAGATTCAAGGAAGTCATGATCTACCCGCTGGATTTAATTAAGTAAATTATTTACTGTGAACCAAACAGATGCACATTTATGCAAATCTGACCTTCCTGAGGCAGGCAGCGAGCATCACAGCTCGCTGCTAGCAAGTGGAAAAACGCAAAGATGCTGGACGTCCTCAGCCATGCCCACTTAACTGCAGACTTGTGAAAAAGCACAGGCTCCTTTCTCTTGTCCTCATTACGAGTTAGAATTCTAACACGTGCCGAGGAGCCGGGTTCTTTGGCAGTTCTAACACTGCCCGGGCCCCAGCAGTGAGGCTGTGCTGCGCTTGTGACGTGCAGACTTTACTTTGCAAACACGGAGCCTTTGCCCAGCAAACCTGTTGCGTCCTTACCACAGACAACCCACAAAATGCAACAAACTCCTTAAAACCTTAATAAAACCTATGCTGGGGAGAGGGGGTGGGGAAATCTTTTCCACACTTTTTTCCACACTGTGTGTGGTTTTTCTATTCCAAAGCAAAAGCATCGGGGCAAGACATTGACCATCTTGACTTCAAAATCGTGGTGGAGCCAAAAGATTCCTCATCTTTTACGGTTATCCTCGTGGCCTCGTCCAGGCAGGAGAAGGCTGCATGGACCAGCGACATCAGCCAGGTAGGATGGACCCGGCAGGGAGGAGGTGTTGGGGCACAGAGTCCTCGGGGATGAGCAGCCCCTGTGGGATTCCTGCTCGGCTGCCCCCATGCAGGCTGCAGCAGTGGCTTTGGGCACCCAGAATTAACACTTCTTGTTTGCTGCACGGCTACAGTTCTGCTGCCTGCCCTTGGACTGTGGCTGTGGCGGTAGCGCTCGGCTGGGTTTGTACCCTGGGTGCTTTCCTGGCACCACCGGGGTGCTCGGGACCTGCTGCGGGCTGAGATCTCACTGCATCAGGCTGGCATGAACAGCACGGGTGGACCACCAAGCCTTGGGCACCCAGGGAGAGCGGTTCTACGCAGAGGGTGACTTGGAGCTGGGGCCATCGCCATAAGCTTTCTGGTGTCTGCTAGCTCAAAGAGGAGGAGGTGGAGGAGGAAGGTGACACCAGCCACAGCAGGTGGGAGCAGAGTCTGTCCCGTCCATGCTCTGCCTGCACATGTAGATGTGTGGTTTGGATGTCTCCTCTGACTCAGACACATGGTAACAATTTACACCTGCTCTTCATTTGCTTTATGCAAATGACTTTGAAGATCTTTTTTCCCAAGTGGAAGAGGAAAAGTTATCGGTTAAATAGGGATTGCCTCCTGGCCACCTCTGTTGTACTATGTCCTTACCTGTGTCCCCCTGCTGAGCATTGGTCCCCAAGGAGAGATGTGGGCAGGAGCTGGGGCCAGCCCCACGCAGGGAAGTGGCAGCTTCTGGTCCCACTCTCCGCAGGGGCCGGGGCCAGTCCTGCCCACGCGGGGGTCTCCAGCCCACGCTCCTGCGCAGCAAAGCCCATGGCAGTGAGCCGGCAGCAAAGGGACCAGTGCCGCTCTGCTGCCCGCTGGGTCTCCCTCCGAGAGCATCCAGCAGCGCAGGCTGGGAGGGGAGTTTAATTACGGTGATAAAGGATGAGAGGGGGTTTCTGGCAACTCTCGCAATGCCTTTGTGCCTACCAGCACACCCTGAGCCTGGGCCAGGTCCATAGCAGGAGAGCCAGGGGAGCAGCTCTGGGCGACGCTTCCCCAGAACAGGAATGCAAGAGTGTGATCATGAAGCTCCTATTTTCAGGCAGAAGCTCTTGCCCTTCCCAGCTGTGCACTCCCAGCTGTGGTGTCCTGTCAGGCACGGTAGATGCAGCTAGCAAGGATGTGTCTTGTCTGGATAACAGCGAGCTCAGGCTCTCTTACGGCGCGTCGAAGCCTGGTGGGCAGCAGGGCTGCCCTTGCCGCTGCCGCCTTCTCCCACCTCCCACCCATGTCTCTTCCAGTGCGTGGACAACATCCGCTGCAACGGCCTCATGATGAACGCCTTTGAGGAGAACTCCAAGGTCACCGTCCCCCAGATGATCAAGTGAGTGCTGCCGCAGCTGGGTGCTGCGGAGAGCGCCCGGCTCTGCCTGGCCCCACGGCACAGCTCCCACAGCAGCCAAACGCTGCTGAAAGCCCCGGGAGCCCGGCGACTTTCCCATGTGCTCAGGCACTTGGGTGTGCTGTTCCCAGCGTGGTGATTAGGAGCGCTAATTAGCTGGGAGAGGAGATTTGTGTGGGACTGTGCTCGGGGAGGTGGAAAGGTCAAAGGGGAGAGCTCAGAGAAAAAATAATAATAGTAAAGGGGTGGGGGGGTGAAACCCCCAGAGGAGAGGGGCGCAGGGAGCTGTGTGGGTGCTGGGTGCAAGGGCTGGCCCGGCCCAAGGAGGTACATATGTGGCATGAGGGGGACCGGGCACAGCCGGGGGGATGAGGCATCAGGGGGGGTGTCCCCGCTGCATCAACTGCCCGCACTGCTGCGGGTCTGCTGTCATGTACGGGGAAGGGTCTTGGTTCGTGGGTGTCCCCCAGCGACAGTCTGTCATTCCACGTTTTTTGCACAAACCTCTGCCTGTTGAGCACTGTGCAGTGTTTCCACCCGTTCTGGGGTGCAGACTTCCTAGCTTTCCCCCGGGAGTATTCCTGCCTGTGTTTTACATAGGGGCACCTCCGTACAAACGTGGGTCCTTTGCTGACGAGGACCTGTACAGCTTTCTGTGGTCCCCGCACATCTCGGGGGGAAGCTGCTTGTGCAAAGCAGCTCTTGGTTTCGTTCCAGGCTGGAACCACAGATATCTTGTTTCTCTGCAGGTCTGATGCCAGCTTGTATTGTGATGATGTTGACATTAGGTTCAGTAAAACGATGAATTCCTGCAAGGTCCTGCAGATCCGCTATGCAAGCGTGGAACGGCTCCTGGAGAGGCTGACGGACCTGCGGTTCCTGAGCATTGACTTTCTGAACACGTTCCTGCATTCGTACCGCGTCTTCACCACCGCCCTGGTCGTCCTCGACAAGCTCATCACGATCTACAAGAAGCCGATCAGCGCCATCCCCGCACGGTGAGGCTGCGTGTGGCACCGCTGCAGTACCTGTGCCGGTGACCTGTCCTGCCCCTAAAGGACCGACAGAGTTTATGGGGGTCTGCATCATTGCTCCTCCATCCCCTTTTCTGTCCTGAGTCAGTCCTCTGCTCCCCAGACCTGCCTGGCCCTGGTGCCACTCCAGGGCTGTTTCACCTGGTCCCGTGAGTTGTGATACCTGCAAATTGGGGAAGCAGATAATCCCGAGCTCTGAGGGTGTCCCCGCTCCTGGGAGGGCCAAGCAGTGGGAACAGGGTGGCAGGGACTCACGCCGGCTGTGCCATGCCCGGGTTCTGGAGAGCGTGGGGTGCCCCGGAGACCCAGTGCTGCTGGAGCTGCCGGCGGGGGATCTCCACAACCTCTCAGACAGAGTAGGTGCGAATTCAGCCTTTCCCTGTCTCTCTGCCAAGGTCCCTGGAGCTCCTGTTTGCAAACAGCCAGAACAACAAGCTGCTGTACGGCGAGCCCCCCAAGTCGCCCAGAGCCAACCGCAAGTTCTCCTCGCCTCCCCCGCTCTCCATCACCAAGTCCTCGTCCCCCAGCCGGCGGAGGAAGCTCTCCCTCAACATCCCCATCATTACAGGAGGGAAGGCGCTGGACCTGGCTGCTCTGAGCTGCTCCTCCAATGGCTATGCAAGCATGTACTCCTCCATGGCTCCCTTCAGTAAGACCACCCTGGACATAAATAAACTGTACGTGTCCAGTAACTATCCCAATAAAATCCCTGACGAAGGAGAAGCAGCCTCAGAAAAGCAAGAGGAGTCACTGCCGAGCAAGCAAAGTAAGTTGCTGTGGGTTTGCAGGTGGGTGGGCGTCCAGCCCAGGCAGCCGGCAGGGAGGGGGCCGGTTTTGGTGGGTGCTCTGCGGGGGTACAGGGACATGTGCGGGGGATCAGGCACACCGTGCCTGGGGGCTTTGCAGCAGCCCAGCCCTGGGCTGGGGCAGGCGGCCTGGCTGTGTGCTGGTGAGTGGTGGGTGCAGGGAGCCCCTGCCCCATGAGCAGGCACGCAGCAGCCCCCCATGTGCTGGGGAGACCAGTGGCAGTTGTGGTGGTGGTGGTGGCAGTGGTGGCGCTCCTGGAGATGCAGTGACTCGTGTGGTGTGGCCTCCAGGAGGCTCAGCAACAGGGTATTGTGGGAAGAGAGCTGGAGCCAGGTGAGTAAAACACTGCAGGGGCCACAGGTCATTGCCCCATTGAGCATCCCTCTGCCCCCCTGCGCTGATGTGCCCGAGCACGGCTTTGAGCACAGCACAGCAGTGGAGGACGAGGCTCCCCCCTGCCATAGCCCTGCGGGAGCCATTCGGCAGCGGAGACCCCAGGGACCCTCTGTCTTTAGCACTTGCCGCAGCATTTGTGGCTGCAGGCTGAGCTGCACTCCCACCCCACAGCGCAGGGACCAGCCCACTGCTCACGCTGCCTGTCGTGGTTTAACCTCAGCTGGCAACTGAGCACCACACAGCCGCTCGCTCACTCCCCCC